TGACGTGGCCTCTCTGTGCCTCAGTTTCCTGAGCGGGTGTAGGAGTAGGTGGAGTTGTCAGGATGAGCACATGAGCTGCTGGTGGCAGGGCCTGGCCAGTCCCCGGTGTCTCTGGCCTGCGTCAGAAGCAGGCACCGAGGGTCAGAGTGGCTGGCCCTGCCCGTTCCCAGCTCAGGTCGCCAGGAAGCAGAGCTCAGGACGCAGGCTTCGGGGCCTCCAGTCTGGGGAGCAGCTGGCCGGGCCCTAGCAGGAGGATTCTCAGGGCCAGGTGGGTGGGGCCCCTCGGCAGCCCCCAACGTGTGGCCAGAGCTGTGAAGCTGCCCAGCCTCTCCTTCCCTCACCCTTCTGAGTACCCACTGTGGGCCACCTCCCTGCTCCCTCGTCCCCTATGTGGCAGGGGCACTGAGTCACCTTGCAGGGGGGAACCAAGGGCAAGAGAGGTGTGGTCACACTCCAAGGTCCCCTGGCCGGGGACAGTGGTCAGGACCCCGTGCAGGGGAAGCGGGGAGCCAGTGTCTGGCCAGCACCAGGACGAAAGGTGCAGGCTGTGGGGGGAAAGTGGCAGGGAATCTTCCAGACAGGCTCTCAGGGGAAGAACGGGGGCACCTGGCCACTGGGGGGCCTCAAGCATAGGCGTGTTTCCGTAGGACACGGTTTTCCTGCCGTGTCGCTGGCGGACCCGAAGGAAGCAAGGCTGAGGATGAGGCAGCACGGGAGGCCACGCGGGCCCCCATCCCAAGGACAGACAGAGCCATGTGGGTGGAGCAGGGTGGGTGGGGGACAGGAGGGACGGCTGGGGCTCTGGGCCCTTTCTTTCTAGGGGACAAAAGTGACCTGGACTGGTCTGAGGTGCCAATTGCAGGACTCCGTTCCTGCCTGGGAAGTCGATGAGCAGCACAGCTAAAATGCATGGGCTTGCTTGGGGCCCAACATCACCAAAAAAGCAACAGTGTAAATGAATGAACTGGATAGAAAGTGAAATAATAATAAAACTTAGAAGTAGACCAGGAGTTTGCAGGCTTGGGGACCTCATGGAGTGATAAAATTAAAGAAACAAGATATGGTTGTCTCAGTTACTTTTCTTTTTGCTGAGACCAAGTACCTGACACCCCTAGTTAAAGGAAGAGAGGTTTACTTAGCTCACAGCCGACTGGCTCCAAGGCGGGGCGTGGCAGAGGAGAAACAGTCCATGGCAGGCAGAAGCCAGGAGGACAACAAAATAGCCAAGTAGCAAGCGAGACACAGCAGCCCTCTTCCTGACCCTGAGATCCTACCCAGGCTCCTGGCCCTTAGGGTGGTAGCACCCACACCCAGGGTGGGGCACCCTGAAGCTAGCATCTCCAGCCGAGAATCAACCCCAGCATGGCATCCTTCATCCCAGCAGCACACACGGTAGATCCAGCCACCTCCGAAAAGCCCCACCTATGACTGCATGAGGCTTTGGGGCAACATCTAGACACAGCCGTAACAGCAGTCCTGACAACACCCATGTGCACACACACACACGTGTGTTTCCTCTTGGGAGCAGGATGCGGCACCCCCAGCCCACCCAGGTCTCCCCGGAGTCAGCTTTTTCTGATGGGACGCAGTGCAGGAAGGACCTCCTGAGGGGGGTGGGAGTCCTCTTTCGCTTTGCGGAACTTGGAAAAGCCCCTCTGTTCTTCCCCCCACTCAGAGCCAGGTCTGCACGCGCTCCCTGCAGGACTCTGATGCTCTGACTGCCAGGGTCCCGGGGAGGGGACGTCAGCAGTGGATGTCGTGGGCCCAGGTACAGCAGCACCTTCTGTGGAGACAGACCTGGCCCGGCCTCGGTGCTGTTGGAGCTGGTGGAGCTGGTTTGGCCCAAGGGCCTGCTTTTTATTAGTCAGCAGCGGCTGTAAATCTGACCATGGGAGGGACAGGCGCTGCTCCATGCCTGTCTGTCTCTACCTTGCTGCCCACTGCCTGCGTGGTGCTTGGCAAGCACCTACACCCACAAGGCTGTGGGTGCCCCGGGCTCACTCCTGACCCCAGGCCACCGGGCCGCACCGGGTCTGCCTCGGGCACATGTGGCCTAGCAGACAGACGGTTCCCTGGGGCTGCCTGTGGCCAGGCCGGGTGCTGTCCTAGAGCATCCAGGCTGGCGAGGTGCACTGGGAGCCTGTGGCAGCCCACAAAGGTAACCACACAGGCGCTGCCTCGGCTCTGCGTCCTCCCAGGTGCACAGCACTGCATTGGAACTCTCCCTCTCTCTCCCTCTCTCTCTTGCATTGGCAGTAGAACCTAGGGTTTTACAACGCTAGGCAAATGCCCCCTGCTGAACTGCACCCCCCCAGCCCATGCTGCTGCTTGTGAAATCAGACCTGGCGGGGGGGGCCCCCTCCCAGAGTGCACTGCCCTAGTGTCCCTTGGAGTCCCCCAGCCAGTGCTGACCCTTGCAGTTTGTCTTCCTTCCCTGCAGGGGCAGCATTCCCATGCTTGCTGAACTCCGAGGAAGCCACGTGGCGTACCCCAGCCTTCCTGGTCACGGCAGTGGACAGGGCCATTCCAATATACCGCCAGTGTTTAAATAAAATTTATTACAGTGAAACACGCATGAGCCTCCCTCAGAATCCGCCCCTCGCTCCACACACTCATCCCACGGTCCTCACCACTTCCTGCAGCAGCTCTGGAGTCCTATCTCCTGAGTGTCTACGAGGTGTGATCAAAAATACAGTGACTGCTGCCACCGAGCACCATCCAGCGGAAAGGCAGGCTGGGAAAAACATGACGCTGTGCCCTTATCACCTTATTCACTGGGTCTGGCACTGTGCAACTTCAGGCTCTTCCCAAAGTCAAAATGACCGTGAAAGGGAAATGTTTTGAATCCATTCAGGTTATGGAGGTGGCCACAGCAGTGCAGCTAAAGACGCTCAGGAAAGAGGACTCCAGAGCCGCTGCAGAGAGTGGCCAGGACCGTGGGACCAGTGTGCAGCAAGGGGGAGGATTTTGAGAGGCTTCACCGCAATGCCTTGTACTGTGATACATTTTATTTAAAAAATTTAAACCTTGAGTGTACCACACCTGTGTAGCGGGAGGCCGGCCACGAAGCAGGGTTTCTCATCTGCACAGTAGAGTCGTCTGTGGTCCAGCGGCTGGCGCCCTGCCCAGGCTGGCCCTGCCCTGGAATGTTGGCCCTCCTGTCCCCTCTTCCCAAACCGACTCCCCCGAGGCCCCATCTAATTCCACGTGTTTGGGGAAGTGCGTCTGGGTTGCCCAGGCCTGGGGAGCCCCCTGGCTTGCTCCCTATGCCCCCACTTCTCCAGTGGTACTCTATCCCTGTCACTGTCCTCCGCTTCCCGCCCTCACACCCGTAGCCTGACTGCCAGGTGCTTTCCCCACCTGAGAGGTGTCCCCTGGCTCCCTTCCCTGCAGGACCCCGGTCTCAGCTCCAGGAAGGGGGAGAGGACACCACGGTCTCGGCTGGTGTGGCACGGCCCCGTCTGCCCCTCCAGCCAGCCCCAGGGCTCTGCTTGAGCCCCCCAGGCCCCAGCGGCTGGACTGGCCACCCTGTGCCTGACAAGGATGCAGCACTGCCAGCCAGAATCTTGGCAGGTGACTGGGCAAGCTGAGGGAGGCTGAGTCCCCATGCAGCTCCCGCCCGCCACATGGATGGGCCCACCAGGCCCTGGGCAAAAGGGTGAAGGAATGAATGGGTGCAGGACGCGCCTTCTGGCTCCAGCCTGAGCTCCCACGCAGCGGGATTTGTGGGGATGTGGTCTGGACCGCGTCACCATATGGATCCCATAAATTAAAGTATTCCAGGAAACAGCAGCGGATTTATGCGTCTCTGCCTGGGGGCTGACGGAGCCTGTGGTCGCCCCAGGAACTTGGCAACGGAGGGCTTGGGTTTAGAGCACTAATCTCTGAAAAAAAACCGGGATCAACATAAACCTGGCTTTTGACAGCCGCGCCAACCTTGTCACTCACTTGTGACCACGAAGACGACAGCCACCATCCCAGGCCTGGCCCCATGGCCAGAATGGGGTGCCCAGCCCCAAACCCCAGGCAGGGGCTCGGCTGCCTGCTGCCTGCTGCACCTCAGCTTCCTGCTGCCAGCTCTGAGCTTCAGTCTCCCCAGCCTCGGGCACGGATAGGACGGAAACGTGGTCATCACAGGCAGAGCGGGAGGGTGACGGCCGGGTGCTGGGCCATGGTGGGTTCCTGGGGGCAGAACTTCCCTCTGGTGTGGGTTGTGGAGACTGACGACAGGGGCAATGCTCAGCCAGGCCCGGGACAGGTTTACTTTAGCCCAAGTCTGGCAGACAGAAAGGGGGGCGGCTGGTGGCCCCTTGGTGTGGCCTGAAGACTGGCCATTCAACTGCGGTGAGGGCTGCGGGGGTCAGCGTCCCCGGGCGGGTTGGTGCCGGTGGGAGCTTTTCACGATTCCACAGGTGTGCTGGGGCCCGGCTGCCTGGTCCCCAGAGCCCTCACGGCACCTGTGCCACCTTGACCCCTCCATGCGGGACGTGCATCATCCCCAGCCCTGTGATTAGCGGGTGCACTACCGGGGTGCATTAGCCTTGCCCAGAGGCCTCCTGTGAGTGCCCAGCTCTGTGTCAGGGCTGCCACTCGCTCCCTGGGGTCAGGGCCTCATCCCAGCTGCTGGTCAGCACGGGCCCCAGATGCCACCCCTGGGGAGCTCAGGGTTCCGGGGCTCTCAGGGTGCCGCCGAGATGGCCCGGGGCCACCCCAGCTCACCCAGCCCAGCGCCAGGCCCCAGCGGCCCTCTGGGCAAGGGTACTGGATACAGACCGGGGCCTGGCACCTCGGGGTGCCCGGGGCTGGGCTGTCGAGGACAAGCCTGTGGCTGTGCAGTGCACAGTGGCTTCACCAGGGACCTGCTGTGCGCTGCCCGAGCCAGCTCAGCTGGGTCCTGACCCCAGAGCCCAGGCCATGGGACTGGCACCCTTGGGAGAGGGCCCTGCCTCTGCAGCTTTGGCCAGATGCGGCCAGCTCACACATGCACTCTGTCCTTGCAGGTCACCTCCGTCTCTCTGGAGTTATCGGCTGCCATCCCCCCTCCCGCCCAGGAGCCCGAGCCGTGGCCGGGGCCCGCTGCCACTGCCACCGACAGCCTGCCCAGGGGCTCCAGGCTCGCACCAGAGCCGCAGCCAGTGCAGAGCCAGCCGGGCCACGATGGGGCCGGACCAGACCACCCAGGCACAGGTACGCACGGCCCTCGCACGGGTCTGGCTGCAGGGCCGGGACCGAGCCACCCACGGCGTGGGGTGGGGTCCTCGAGCTGGGTCCCTGTGTTCTTGCAGCTGCGTCTCCCTGACTCCGGGGGGGTTTTCATTCCCCTTCTGCGGTCCTGGACTGAGGCTCACTCGGGGTCCTCGGGGCCCGCCACCGGCTGCCCTGGTTCAGGTGTCACTCTGGCTGCATGTCACTGACCCCCGCGTCTGCTCTCGTGTGCGCCCACTTTTCTAAATGCTGTCGCAGGTGGCTGGGCCCACAGGCACCTCGGGGCTCGGGATGTGAAAGCACTGTGTCCCCCAGCCAGGCAGGAGGACGCAGGGTGCTCTCAGGGGGGCGACCACACTCTCCACCTGCCCCCCTCTGGCACTGGCTCCTCTCATGACCCTGGTGGTGCCACTGCCCCGGCCCACAGCTGGCGTGGACCCCCGAGCCTTTCCCACCACGTGTGGCCCAAGCCGGGGGCTGTGGGGCTCTCGCTTGCCCGTGGTTGGACTTTAGCCCACAGTGGACACTGTGTTCTTTCATGGCCCCCTTCTCTGAGCCGAGGTGTCCCCAGGTGCGTTCAGGAGGGGGCATGATGTTTCCGTTTCCAATGTGGACCCTGTCCAGAGACTGCTGGGGAGGACTGTCATCCCCGAGTCCCTGGTCACCAGGCGGCCGGGAGGACCTGTTTTTGGTGTGGGTCAGGCTGTGACCTGGGAGTGGGAGGTGCTGGGCCTGGGGGTCCTGCATGTCCCTCCTGCAGGCAGGCCTGGAGGGGTCAGCGGGCTCCTGGCCGATGCCTGCCAGCTGTGCCAGCCAGGCTGAGCCCGGCCTGGGGGAGCTCCCCGAAGCCCCGCCAGGAACGCAGCCCACATCAGGACCCTTGGGTGGCTCAGAAACGTGACAGTGACAAATGGCTGATTACACACCTGCCACTTCTCAGCTGATGGGGTGGCGCCTCCTCCGGGGCCAGCTGTGCTTTGCCAGCTGTGCAGTGGACAGGGCACAGGCAGATGCTGACACACAGGCACACACATGCGTGCACACTCAGACACTCAGGCCCTGCACACACATACATGTGTGGCTGCTGCTGTCACACTAACACACAGACACACAGTTGGCCACTCAGACAGATACACGGGGTCACGCATGTACACGCAGGTGTGCACACCCAGACAGCCCATGTGCACAGATACATGGCACCAGGATTCTCACATGTAGGTAAACACACCACACGCACATGTACACACATGTGCACACTCATGCACACACAGCCTCTGACCCTGGTCCCCACAGGGTGGACGTGGGGCACGGAGGTGAGGAGATGCTCTGAGCCCTGCTGGGGGGACGCGGCTCAGGGTGTGGACAGTGTGTCAGCAGGGTGGCTGGGTTTTGCCCACTGACTCCAGGGCACCCAGGGCTCACCGGCTCTGGGGCCACTGGGGCCGCACGTGGGGTGCAGCGCCCCAGGTGTGGGCTTTGGGAGCCCGGCTGGGCACTCATGGAGTGGGCAGTGTGACCCAGGGCACTTTAGGATGTGTCATCCCCACCTTGGGGGGGTTGGGTCTCAGCTGTCAGGACCCCCGGGCCACCTTCTGCCGTCCTGCACAGGCTGCAGTGACCCCTGAGGCAGGGAAGTCACCAGCCGAGGGATGCAGGGCTCAGCTGCTCCTGACGCAGAGCAGGCATGGGAGAAGTCCTCCTGCTGCAATGGTATCAGTGAAGCAGGATTGCACTCAGATGGCCCCAACAGCAGCCCTGCACAGTTGTGTAGGTTGTGCACTAAGCAACTCCAGTGTGCCATTCTGCCCATTGCCTTTGCTATTATGTTCTGCATGGCCACAGGGTAGGGGGCTGTCCTGTTGCACTGCAGAGTGTTGCCTTGGAGTCATGCCATGTGGGCCCTGGAGGTCCTTTCTGAGCCATGCAGCTGCTTCTCAGGCGAGGGCAACGTCATTACTAACGGAGGTGGCAGAAGGCGGGCCACTGTGCTGCCTGGGGCTGAGTGTGGAAAGCCAGGCCAGCTGTCTGTCCACATCCAGGGAGCTTGTCCACGGCTCGCACTGCATGCAGCCTGGCCTGTGCTGCTCAGCTTTGGGCAGCCCTCGGAGGCCCCGGAGCCACCCACGGAGATCCCAGCCCCACCTGCCCACCAGGACGCCACTGTCCCCAGGGCCAGGCCTCCGGGCGTGCGGACCTCGGCCCTCTGCTGAGCTCAGCCTCCCTACTACTCCCCGCCTGTGGATTTGTGCGTTCCCTGGGCCATGCTCCTCCTGGGACTGCCTTGTGCCTCGGGTTTTCCCTTCTGCAGAGCAGGATGATGGAAGGCCTGGCTGTGGGGTGGAGTCGGACTGGTCTTGGAGCCGCACCTCGAGCTCCTGCGGGGACCCTGGCTCTGTCTCCCTGTGTTGGGCAGAGGGCCGCGGAGGCCGGACTGCTCCAGGGACTTGGCTCGGCCTCCAGGAGGCCTTGGCAGCCGTCTGGAGTCAGCTCTGCGCTTAGCACTTGGCGCTCTGCAGCCCTGGCTCTAAGGCGCAGGGTGGCTTGGCGTGTGATGTCATCGCCTCCGGGCCACCTGCTGATCCCCTCCTCTGCCCCTTTGCCTGTGTGTGGCCAGCCGTGGGGGACCATGTCTGTTCATCTTTGCCCGGCAGCCGTTTATCTCTTGCTTGAGGCTCCGTGGCCGCCCGCAGGCTGCGTGGCGGGCAGGTGTGGCCCTCTGGAGGGGGCTGCCAGTGCCTGCTGCTGCCTCCCTCAGTGCATGGCCTCGCCCGCACCCAGGGTCTTTCCTGCCAGGTCTGCCGCTTGGCTCCCGCGTGCATGCGCCTATGGAATTAAGCAGGAGGGTCTCCCGGGGGCAGCTGGAGATGCGGCAGCCCAGAACGGCCCGGTGCAGTTCTGATGGCCTGGGGAAGCTGCCTGACCCCGGGCACAGGGTCTGTTGCCCGGAGCCTGAGCTCCTGCCTGAGCAAGCTGATGATAGAAGTTTTCTTGGAAAAGAGGAGCTTTGAAGAGCCAGGCAGCACCAGGGCACGGGGCATCCCGCCAGGGCCCGCACTGAGGCTGCGGCCACCACCTGGCCACCGCCCTCTCGGGGCGGAAGTTGGCAGCTGGGGCCTGGTGAGTCACCGTTTGGCGCCACGATGGGTTTTGCTGGCCCAAGGAGCGGAGTTTGCCAGCCACTCACTGTGCCCGTGCAGTGCTCACTCACAGCCCGCCTGGGGCAGCCCTGTGTCAACATCGGGCATCTCTCCAGCCGTGTCTCCACACCTGCGTGCCCGTCCGTCTCCACCTGCCCGCCCGTGTGTGGTGTTCACAGACATTCGCCTGCTGTGTGCCAAGACTTTTGACGAGCCCTCAAGGGCAGGGCACACCGGCCAGGAGGGTGGAGAGGGGAGTGCTCCCAGCTGGTGGTCGGGGAACAGCATTGGGCAAGCTCCAGGCTGCAGGAGGAGCAAGTGCCAAAGTCCTGGGGCCACCCACACCCAGCGTGCTGTCGCCTCCAGAAAGCAGGGACCGTGGCTTAGGGGTCTCTTGGTCTCTCCAGCACTTGCCATGTTGCACATAGTAGGTGCTCAGCCAACTTTTGTTGAGTGAATACAGCTTCTAAGTCACCTGGCTCTGGTACCTGGCCCAGGAGGGCAGAGGTCAAGGGGAAGTAAGGCACCCGGAAATGCAGCTGTCTCTTCCCAGCGTCCTGGCTGAGGCTGATGTTCCAGGCAGGCCTTCCTTACTCTGTGTGGAACCTTCTCTCTCTCCAGCCAGGCCAGTTTTGTGCCAGGAGATTGTTCTGTCGCGGTGAGCATCAGGGGTGGCGGCCGGTCCCCCACAGGCTTTGCAGAACCTAAGATGCTGCGGAGGAACAGCAGCCCAGAAGCTCCCTGCTCCCCTGGGGTTCGCGGCGTGGCATGGGGTCAAGCACAGTTGAAGGTCACCCCTCGACTTGGAGGCTCCGGGGAGAGGCTATGAGGACTTAGGACCCAAAAGAGAGGCGTATTTTTTGAGCCCTGTGGTGTGTGCGCGTGTGCACCTGGGAACGGCGTCCTCGGCCGCCTCTGCTTCCGGTGGCTGCTGTCACACTCACTGTGAACGCGGTGCCCCTCACAGGCTCTTCTCTGCAGTTCAGGGGTCTCCTGGCTTCAGGGGACTCGGCCCATCCCCCGGGAGGCTCAGGGCAGGGCCTGCGGCTCCGTCCTCGCCTCGTGGCCCCGCGCGCAACTCTCCTGCCTTGACTCCCCCCCCCCCCACCGTGCCCTGCTGCCCCGCTGCCGCCTCCTAAGGCCCCCCGGCTCCCCTGGGCGCCCCAGCCAATCCAGGATGCTCCCCCAGCTCGGGCCGTGGCCCCGTCAGCTCTGCAGAGTCCTCAGTCCAATGAGGAGCCACCTTCTCCCCGGGGCTGGGCTGGACTTGTGTGTCACCACCCAGGGACCTGTGGACCAAGGACACGTGGGCCAGGAGGAGAGCAGGGCTGGTCATTTGCTGAGCACTGACCCTGTACCAGGCGCACGGCAGGCACTGTGATGGGAGCGGCTGTGACCCCCAGTGGGCCAGATCAGACTGTGGCCTGGCAGGAGGTCTGGGTGCAATTTGGCCTTTGCCCAGAAGGTGGTGCCATAGAGACAGACACACCCACAGCCCCGGCTCTGGGGCCAGCCTGGGAGGGCTTCACCCCAGAGAGCAGACGGGCCCTGCCCTCCCCAGGGTGTCCGGTGTCCCTCAGCTCAGCCCTCTGTGGAGGTGGAGCAGGACAGCAGAGAGAGCGCGCTGGGACCCGGGAGGGCTGCAGGGAGTGGGCAGCCCTCAGCAGGCGCTGAGCCTAAGTTGGGCAGGAGGAGACCCAGGCCCGGCCTCAGCCCTCCGCCCTCCGCCGTGGCTTCCTTCCTGCGGGGACTCCCCTTGGTTTCTGGCTGTGTATCCTACAGAGCTGAGCCCTCAGCCCTTGCCCCTCACATTCCGCTCAGAGCCGCACCCGCCCACCAGGGCCT